TCTTTATATATAGTATACAATTCTCTAATTAACTATATATGTTTAATTTTTTTATATGATATCGAAGATTGATCATACAATAGATGGTTTAACATGCCAAAAATATTATATGCTAAGTGAATATAATATGATCAAGTATTACAAGTACATCATTTAATAAAATAAATAATCAACAACCGGAAAATCATACCCGCGCTGGGTCTAGTGAATATTATTAGTCATCGTCATATTAGTTGAGAAACTTGACATTAATAATAAAGCCCAGTTGATCAAAACAATAATAATAGTTAAGCCCAGCCCATTAACACTGTTTATTATCAGACAGATGTTCTGTAAGAAAAAGGAGGAAGGGATGGTGTTTTTCATGTCGTATCCGCCGACACGGCGGCAAATGATGGTTTCCGTGGCGTTTTTCGCGGCAGGCGTTTCTCTCTTCGCCGCCGGAGCGTATCTATCACTCGAAAACATTGGACCGCAACAAGCTCGCGTCAAGGCTCGGAACCAATTCGTCAAGGATCGAATCAGGAAATGGCTCGACGATTAGAGTTTCACAAAATCTATTTTTCTGCTGATTTTCGCTGTAATTTTAGATTTTGATGTGAAGGGTTCTTCAAGGGTTTAGGGTTTAAGCGATCTGAATCTTCAGTTGTTAACATTTCCTGTTTTTTTTTTTTTGTTAAAAATATCAAAAAGTTCTTTACATGTTAAAGGTTCAAGCTTTTTTTTGTCGGTTTGTTAGTTCAATCTTGACAAGACGAGTAAACCATAAGAGAATGTGTGTAGATCATTAGTACATGTAGAAGTCTATAGATTCTATCTATCTCTGCTCCAAAGTTGCTCCCTTTGTAAAGAAAGGCTCTTCCTTGGCGTTGAGGTAAGTTTGAAGCTTGGTTCTTTAGCTTAGCAATAGCTACGTGTCTCTCCTCGAGCTGGTGTTTAGCTTCCAAGAGCTTCATCTGCCCCCACATTCTATTAATGATTTTGAGAAGTTATTTTTCATGTGTTGTTAGCGTTACTACAATTTTTCAACCGTGTTATGATGGATGATGGAGTCAGACAAACTATTCATAACAGATTCAGTATCTTCTAGTTGCTTATGGATAATAGAACATAGATTGTAAGATTCCAAAGTGAATTATATTGAAACTATGATTGTAGTCAATAACATACATGTATGGAGCCAGTGATGCACTTTCATTCAGAAGAAGCACTTCATGTGATTAACAAGTGAGAATGTTTCTCACGTTTCCGAACACAAGCAAATCTATAAAAAAAATCATATATCTATAAATAAATCATATCAAAAAAAGAAAATAATGAAAAGGAAACATTAGTTTCTCATATTTCTGAAATGAAACTTTGTCCTTTTTTTAATTTGTCTTTTTTTTTGTCTTACAAATACATCGTTTAATCTTCTTTTAAAGAATTAATCCGATGTAATTGTGGATATTTAACTAATTTTTTTTATGCAAAGCTATAAATCAACCGGCAAACTAATTCTACACAATTTCCGTTATGCAATCGTGGTGACCTATGAATACACTGAATGGATCAGTGCAAACAAACGTGTGGACCTTTGAGAAGCATTGCATTCTCTTCATTTACCATTTCATTTTATATTTTAACTAATTATCTTAACAATAAACAAGACAAAATATCATAAATGAATAAATACGAATGAAGATAATCCAAAGCGTGAGGGTTGCTTTCGGATAGACACAGAAGTTGTCTCCATTTTCTTTGGAAATTTTGGGATCATGGGCACTGTGGGACCCATTCTCACTAAGCCTGCTACTGCCACAGTGTGAGCCCAGTTTAATAGCCCATTTTTGTTTTGTTTTTATTTAATTTTGAACTGTCATGTGAAAACCACAAAAGTATATTTATTAATGTATTTTGTTGAAATAGGAAATCTGAAACCTCTCTTCATTTCAAAGTATGTCAAAAATGTTGTTCTTCTATGTTTGCTCAATCGCTCTTGTTGAAGGAGAGGTACGAGTCAACAAGTCAAATTTATTCGAAGCTGGAGTTAGACTTTCTCTAATCCTACTTGGTATATAGAGACTTTTGACTGTCTGATTATTTTATTAGCTATCTTCGTTATTAGACGCCATTTCTCTGACAAAATAGTTTGATTTTTTTGGTGCTAAATGACATAGGAAAGTTGACAAAAATGACATCTGAAAATTGTTTCTTTGCTAACACATACACATATAAACTCATCAAAATTATTTAGCAAAAAAATTACCACCAAACCTTTTCAAAATATTTTAAAGGTGGAAACATTGTACCTGCTGAAAAGTGTCGTGTTTAGTCTTTAGACTGTATTGTCATCTTCGTCGGTAATTTCAACCAGTAAAATTTATTGTGGATATGGTTTAGGGTTATACGGATCTAATTAACATTATGATTTATAACATACTACTAACTAAGAAAACTTGAGGAAAAAGAAAAGGCAGAGGGTAAATTTGAAATGGGAACCATGTGTCCGTGGTTGGGTGGTATCATGGCGTTCCATTGGCTACAGGACATAGACATGAATTCGAATCCGCCTACTCTCTGGAGAATAGTTTACCATATATATTATTATTTTTTAATTTGAAATGGAACCTCTACATATAATGGAAATGAGACCTGAATATTTGATGCAATGAAAGAACCTAGAAGAAGAACGAGATAGAGAGGCGTGCAAATGTTTGTTTCCCTGTCCTACCATCTTTCTCTTGTTTTTCAACCTAACCGCCAAACTTAGCCGTCCCTCCCTTTTTCATTTTTATTTATATGAAATAACGGTTTGTGTTTGTCTTCCTCCACTACACACTCTCTTATCCTCCAAGTTGGATAAAACTTTGAAGGTATAATACATACGTATATAATTGCTGGTAAGGTTATATATCTTGTAAAATTTGGATTGTTAGATTTGTACGCGAATAACTACAGTTCTTTAATAGTTGCGGCTGAAGCACTTAAGAGTCGATAGTCACCGGTTCACGATCAATAATATGAACTAGATTTTGATCCGCGCTTGAAAGCGCAGAAATCTTTTATAAATGGGTTATATTTTAATTTAAAGAGTGTTTTGGTATAAAATCAGTTTATCAAAATTTGTGATGACGATTTTTTTATTAGTTTTTAGTTTCAGTTTTTATTTTTAGATTTTGGTTTTTAGTTTTTAAGTTTCTATTTGTGATTTTCAGCTTTTGTTTGGGTTTTTAATTTTTAGATCCGCTGAGTTAGTTTAAACTGATATTACCAACAAACAAATTTCAAATAATCGAACATCTAATTTAAAACTGAAAAGATGACAATTTTTTTTTTAAAAAAAAAATTGCAATAGTTTATTTTGTAAATAAACAAAAGCAAAAACTATAACAATATGTTATCCAGAACAATGCGTTTTCAGCTTTTGGTTTTGGGTTTTAGTTTTTAGAATTGGTTTTTGGTTTTGCTTTACATTTATTTATTTTTTTTAAATCAGTAAATTATTTAAGAAAAATAAAACAATAAATTATTTAAAAGTTACCATTGAAATTTATCAAAAAAATGATTGTTATTTAAAAAAAATACAATAACATGTTTTAAAGTACATAATTTAAATAAATGATTAATAATAGACAATTTTGTTTTGTTAAAAATATTAAATACATTAGGGCATGAAAAAAATAATTGATTTTTTGATCCATTAAGATAAAAAAATTTATTCAATGTTTTCTGGAGTTTTTCCTTAATAGTAAGCCTAAAAATCAAACCATATAATTTGTCCTAAAAACAAAAGTAAGCCCAAGACTATATCCCATAAATAACCATCGGTTTAATTTAAGTAATGCGGTTCAATTAACTATATGGCTTGTTGTAACACTCTAGAAAGAGTCCAAATTTAAATGACAATTTGTATTAATAGATAAAAAAGAAAGACTCTATTTTAATAGAGTAGATTTTCATTGGTTTCATATAATTATTAAATTTCCATTTTTTTAAGGAATTGTTACGATGCTATATGGTATATTACGATTTCCATATTAATATAATTAGCAGATTTCCATATTCCATATTTTGATAATATATATTCTTTTAGAACATTTCATATTTGTAGAAGAAAATATGTGTTTTTGGTAGACACATAAATATCTACCGTATTTTGAAGATACTTTACATTAAGGTCGCCATGTTACATTAATTGTGTTGATTTAACTTAAGTAATGCAGTTCAATCAATTATAAGACTTACATTATTTGTAACACTCTAGAAATAGTCCAAATATAAATGACAACTTGTATCAGTAGATAAAAAGAATGTCTCTATTTTAATAGAATAGATATGGTTGAGAAATAAATGTAGTAAGTACAGTCAAAGTATTGAAAAGTTAAATAATACTCCAAGGTATAGATAGACAAATATAAGAAAAATTTGTCATCGGAAAAATATAAATTATAGAGAAAATTTTACCAAAAAGAGAGAAATTTATTTGTGTGAATCCCTCAAAATTGTTATATACTACCGGTTTTCTATTTTTGTAATTGTTGATTATCCTCCAATTCCATTTATATATTTTTGTGTGTTTCTTTCCTAGACAATTTCATTAGTTACTTGCGATTATTCCAAATATAAACTGCGAAATTGTCGGTTCTAAGTCTAAGATATCGGCTGCATAAATATTAGGGTTTTATATACATCTGAACAATACAGAAAATTTTAATAAGAAAAAACAAAACGTAAAGATAGGGCCGGAGCTGAGATTTTGGGGGCTTGAAACATTTCTTAAGAATTCTAAAAAATTTGGGGGCCAAGGTTAATGTTTAGGAGCTTATTCGTAGATTAAAAAAATTAAAATTTTTGGGGGTCTAGGCGAATGTTTCGTCCGCATATGTCCAAATCCGGCCCTGCGTAAAGGAAATATGTGGTCCTCTCCCTCTGGCTATTTAGTCTTGGTTCATAGAAAACAGAACAAATAGCTTTGGTCCCCTACTTAGAGAAAACAAATGTAAAAAAAATAAATATACAAACAAATATCAGGATATATTAATTTTCACAGGTGAATGTATACTTTTTGCACCAAATATGCATACTTTTTGTCAGCTAAAATGTATACTAATAATATATTAATTATATCATTTTTTATATCATATTGCCTTCATAGTATATAACTGTTATTGTTTTTGTTTATATACAATTGTTAGTGTATTATATAAATAACTAGGGTAGGCCCGCCCTACGGGCGGGATATACTTTACTTATTATAATTTTTGTTATGATTTTCTAGTTTGTATTACGTTTGCATTCGTGAGAAAGTATGATACACTTCAAAAAAAATTCATATTATATCACATAAATAGTATCAGAAAAACAAATGATATCAATTTGAAATCCTTATAAGTAAAACGGTACAAAAAAAATTGTGTCTATCAAGAAATTTTTTGAGAATGTTAATATAATTCATATTCTTCATAGTAGGAATGGTCGGATGGATTCGCTAGCGAGAAAAGCAAAAACCAGAAGTTATAGTTTCTCCCATATAATTCGGATCCGGACAAATGGAAGTTCTCTTCGGAGAATCGGGTCGTCTACCCACCAATTGGTCTATTAAATGAACAACTAACTGAAAATAATACATGAAATAATATAATAAAATTAATTTTATTTAATTAGTATATATACAGAAAAAATAATTTTCTAATTTAATTAGTATATACACAGTAAATTTTGTTTAAAAAAATTATAAACTAATAATTCTATAAATTGTTAAAATATTATATTTCCAACATTAGTAATTTATAGGATTCT